GGGAGGTGAGCACGCAATATGATTTTTTGTTCTTTGATGCCCGATAACTGATCCCTTTGGCATTTCTTAATGATAACTGATCCCTTTGGCATTTCTTAATGACGTAGCTTACCACTGAGATTATATATCTGCTAGGACAGATCCCACGCCTCAGTCTCTTCTTTTCCCAAGATGGTCTTGGTCATTCTTAGCCATATAAGCTTTGGAGAAGGCTTTTTCAGGCCTGATGGGAGTTAGTTTGGATTTGGCATTCCACCTCTAGGTCATTTTAAGGGCAACAAATGCCGTTCAGGTGCCGTGTCCTTCAATCACACGCAGCCTCCCATCCGTGCGGTGCCTGTTTCCTCCCGCCCTTCAGTGCTGTCAAGTTCAGAACAGTTTCACATTTCCTCATGTCGTTCCAGCACATCTCGTTAGAAATGTTCCTAGTGTCGCATACTGTTTTTTCAAGTGTCTTTAGACGTTTTTTTTAAACTATAAAATGTACAAAGAAAAAAATGCGTAATGTGCCACTTAAACTATTAGCCTTGAACGCCCAAGCCAGGACTCAAAGCACTGTAACATCCCCGAGAAAATTCACACTCCCTCCCTCCCTCCCTCCCAATGGTCTTGGGGGTGTTCTGCAGGCTCTCTGTCGCCATGCTTTATTTGTGTTTCTTGCGATCAGTGTCAGGTAGTGTTTTAAATCTAGTGACCAAGCCTGCTTTTTAACTGGTTTGGACATTTACATTTAGGAAGATTGCTGACCTGTTTGGACATCTGTGTGCTGACCCACTCTGTGCGGTCTTAGTTGTCATGCTTTTCTGTCTTTCTTTAGAGGAGATTAAGTTGACCAAGTCTACAAGCAAGGTCTACTGAAGCCAGTCACTTGCTCTCACTATTCACTCTGTCTGCGAACCAGAAACCTTGATGCCACTTCACCAACTCGGGTTTATTTTCAGAATATGGCGTCCAGGAAAGGTGGGATGATACTGCACTGGGATAAACCATTTAATATGCAAGACACCAGATACAATGGTTTCACACAAAAAAGATGTATTTTCATTCATGACTATTTACATTTTTCCTATTTATTTAAAGAATATCATACAACTGATACCTTCTGAAATGTGTCATATTCTTTAAAAAACAAAAACACTCTCCTATTTACACTTATCTGACATGGAATTAAAAACTAGAAATGGTCAAATACAGTGATAGAAAGAAACCAGCCAACACAGTGAGGTCTTCTCTTGAATTAGCAATAGTAGTTACCTTAATAATAAATTATCATTTATTTAAAATCAGTAGTAATTTTAAACAATTCATAAATAAGTGGGTTCTGTGCAATTTACATGTTTCATATCCAGTGGATACTAAAAGCTTGCATGTTGTCAGGTTTGTACTTTGTTACTGTATCACGTGGTAAGCTTTCCCAAAGAAGGAACTTGAGACGCTTGCAAGACTGTCCTCAGATTCTCCGGAGACTTCTCAGGGCTCTGCCTGCCTCCCAGGAGGAGGTTCCAGTTTGCGCGAGAGTGCAGTTAAGATCTGGTTAAATTTTTCATACCGCTCCGTCTGATTGACCTGTGCACCTTTGCTGCCCCACAGCAATCTCATTTGAAATTCAGTCTTGAAGATTTCTCTCATTTCCTCATCTGGTTCAAAACCTAGTGAAAAACCAAAGTTAGAACAGTCCTGCCGAACAAGAGCGCTAGAAGCAAACCAAAACCTGCTTACGTGAAGTAGGATCAAAAGTGAGCCAGCTCCCTTAGCACTTTAAAATACACACTGAAAACAGAGGGGCTATGCCTTCGGAGGGAAGCAGAGGCTCGGCTGTGGGACCCGAGCACCTTCCGAGAAGGAATGGCCCGTAAACTCCCTTGAACACCGCAGAGTGAACTTTGAACAACACAAAGTACTTTTCTTTTAAAAATAGGTTTATTTGTGTATCGGGGACATGCCACTTGAGTAACCTGTTTTAACTGTCGAGCATGGTGTATTATAGTAAGTTTATATAGCCTTGCAACCGTCACTGGCAGTTTTAGAATACTTTCATCATCTTAGGAGGTTTCCTGGTACCTCTTTGTAGTCAAACCCACTTCCTGTCTTAGACTCCAGCCAGTCACTGCTTGCTTTCTGCCAGTATTTGCCTTTTCTAGAGGTTTCATGTACACGGACTTGTATCATGATGCTGTTAAGATTATTCCAAATTGGTGCTTGCTATCAGAAATTTATTACTTTTTATTGCTGAGTAGTATTCCATCATATGGATATACCACATCTTGTATATCCATTCATGAGCTGATAGCATTTGGATTGTTTTTAAATTCTGGTGATTATAAATAGTGTGATGATGAACATCTGTATAGAAGCCTTTGTGTGGACATACGTGTTCATTTCTGCAGGAGTAGCATGACTGGCTCACATGGAAAATACAAGGAGCTCTGGTGGTGCAGTGGTGAAGCTCTGAGGTCAGTGGCTCAGTCAGTAGGTGCTCCTTGGGAGAAAGAGCTTCACGGTCAGCTTCTGTAAACTCTACAGCCCTGGAGCCGTATGGAGTGGTTCTGATCTGTCCAGCAGGGTCGCCTGCTACGGGCTATGCTGAACTTGTAAAGAAACCATCAGAATGGCTGTACCACTTTATAGCCCCACCAGCAACACATCGAAGATAATAATCTCTCCTCATGCCTTCAGCACGTATGTTGTATTGTCATTCTTTTAAACTATAGGGTAGGTGTAGTGGTAGCTCACTGCTTTATTTTACACTTTCCTGATGTGTTAAACAGCTTTCCTTGTAGTTTGCCATTGGTAAATCTACTAAATTGTAGCTTCTATTCATATCACTTGGCTACTCACACCTCATTTGTTTTCTCAGTATAAGTTGTAAGAACTCTTTGTATATTCTGGATACAAGAAGTTCTTTATCAGGCATACATGTAGCAAATATTTTCTTAGTCTGTCGGCCTTATATTTTCAGAACAAAATGTTGGTTTCATTTTGATTTACCAGTGTTTTCTGCTATGTTTCATGCTTTGTATGTCCTACGAAATCTTTGCTTAGCTCAAGGACATAAACAATTTCTACTCTATTTTCCTATAGAAGCTTTACGCCTGTGGTCATTTTGGATTATTTATTGTGTATAGTAAGAGGTAGGATTAATATTCATTTTCTGTATATGAATATGCAATAGTAGGAGCCCTTGTGACATGGTGATTATGCTTTGGCTGCTAACCGGAAGGGCAGCAGTTTGAAACCACCAGCCAGCTCTGCAGGAAAAAGATGGGCTTCCTATTCCCATAAAGAATTAGCGTCTCAAAACTCAACAGGGACAATTCTACTCTGTCCTATTGGGTGGGTGGGTCCCTATGAGTCAGAATTGACTTGATGGCAGTGAGTTTCATTTGGTTTCGTTTCTCCAATAAATTATTGAAAATCCACTGCTTTTCATATGTGTGGATCTATTTCTTAACTCTCTTCTGCTCCATCTAAGAGGAGTTCTGGTCTACTTAAGGCTAAGGATGCCCAGGCCACTCTCAGCCAGAGTCACAGGGGAAGAGGTTCTCATCCTTTGTTTTCTCTGTCATTGAATGGGTTCCTACTATGATATCACAGACACTTGGTGGGGAGGACACTGGAAGCCATCCTTCCATGTGACACCACAGTATCTCTGTCAGAGGAGCAACCCGAGGCCAGATGATGCCTTCTGTTCAGCTTTCTGGCTCCCTGTTTTAGTCCTTTAACCAGTGAAGTGTTCTCTTCCAGGAAGTCATTCCTCTGTCCCAGCATCTTTCCCTAGGTCGGTTGCTTTTCCCTAATGCTCCTCGGTGTGCTGCACGTACCACTATGTGCTGAAAGGCCTGTTTCTTCCCCGATCTGTAAGCACCTAGCAAGTGCTGAGCACACGGGGGCTGTGATAACTGTCTATCAAGTGGAGGGAGATGCTTTCTGTTGCCGTAGTACTTGTCGCCAGCTTATACAACAGTTGGCCCCACACTTCTCCAGAGAATGCACTTTCTTATCTAAGTGGGAGGGAATGCGCTGCAGGAAATGTAGTCCAGATACAATTCCAGCTCCTAGCATGGCCGATCACAGATACCAGCGGCCGGCCACCTGCACCCTTCTTCTCTGCTCCACCACTGACCTGGCAGACACCGAGGAAAAGGAAACAGGAGATTCTAGTTCTTTAGGAAGAGGAAGTAACCGGCTAGTCACATAGGAAAAGGAACATCTTTGTCTTTCCCACCTGGTCTTTTCTGAATGAAGACACGGGCTCCCACTCCTATATCTCCCTTCATTCATAAAGGGCAGCTGACCACACACTGCTCTTACCGTCCAGGATCTTCTGGGCATTCGCCCGGTAGGTGTCCGCAGCCTCTGCCACGAGCCGGGCTGTTGCCAGATGGCTCAGCATGATCTCACAGCTTTCGTCATTTTTCTCCCACAAGTCGGTTCCTTCCAACGTGACAGCCTGGCGCTCCATCAGGGTCACCAGAGGCATCAGCAGCGGGACCGATACATTGCTTGGGAGAACATGCGTGGACTCTGAAAAATAAGGAGGGGCGGTTTCCCTTGTCATGTTCCTTCACGTAGGGCACAGAGTTGAGCCAACTGAGTAGGGTCCTGTTATAGCCTCTGCAGCCCTGCTACCAGCAATGCAAGGAGAGCCACGCCGGCCCCACCCGCCAGCAGCCCTGCTGAGCGTCACACCACCTGGGCTGTGTTCCCTCCCAGCAGAGCAGGCTCGGCCCCCTCACCCCGGCTCTCCTGCAGGAGTTTGCTGAAGGGCTTCAGCTGCTTCTCGTAGAGGATGGCGGTCTGTGTGAACTGGTGGCGCAGGGCAGTCCACGTTTTTTCCAGCCTTGTGATCTGGAAGAAGTCAAGGTGTTAGTGACGATGGAAAAGATTCTTTTCAAAATCAACTCGTCATTTAAACTATAGAATAAGTGATAAGTGAACATAGTTTTTTTTTAAAAATTATATACAAAGGGCAAAAAAAGGAATGTACAGCGAAAAGCTTATGTCCAACCACCCTACCCCTGCCACTTTCCTCTAATGATCCACCCCTCAGTCTGTGTACACACACACACACACACCCCTTTTAAAAAACACCATAAGCTGATGTAACTGCCCCCCCTCCCCCGAAAAAGTGCCATTTCGTGTGCAACTAGGACAGTCTCATTTTGTGACATGCCTCCTTAGTGGATAAATCCGTTTACTTTTATTGGGGGGGGCAGGGGGGCTCTTACAGCTCTTAACACAATCCATACATATAGCCATTGTGTCAAGCACATCTATACATACACTGTCATTTTTTAAAAAACATTTTCTTTTTACTTGATCCCTGGGTATCAGCTCCTCATTTTTTCCCCCTCCCAGTTTACTCTTCTACAGACAGGAGTTTTGCTGTAACAAAATTATCACAGTGAAGATGTTGGTCCATGTGTGCCTGTGCTCAAGGGTCCGGAGAGTGCTCTAGGGGCAGGGCAGGTCACGGAGCTCCATACTTTAAACGTGGGTTGGTGTGGCACGCGCCCTCCCTGAGGTAAGCTCTCCTGATGTCCCAATCGAGGGGGGTGATGGGAACCCTCGAATGCCCCTTGTAAGTAATGCCGAGAGACAGACTGCCCAGCCTCAGGATGCTGCCACTCATTCCAGCTCCTTTCTGTGTTCTGTCAACGTCAACATATGCAGCTGACTGCAATCGCCACAACACAAAACCAACAAACCAACGTGAAACCTGGGAGAAGGCGCTCATCTTTAGAGAATGAGACCCCCCTGTGGGGCCGGGTCCTAACTAGGGGGAGTCTCGTTTCAATCTGCGAAGCAGGTCTTCTTGTCTTACAAGGAGGAAAACACAAGCCAGGGCCAGTAGACAAGTTGCCCGAGATTTCACAGCTGGTAAGTGGCAGAGCAAGGAGCTCTGTGGTGTAGGTGATGGGTTATAAGTTGGGTTGCTAACCACAAAGTCAGCAGTTCGAAACCACCAGCTGCTCTGAAGGAGAAAGATGAGACTTCCTGCTCCCTTAAAGAGTTAAGTCTCAGAAACCCACAGGAGTGGTTCCACTCTGTCCTCTAGGGTCGCCATGAGTAGGAATTGACTTGGTGGAGGTGAGTTATGTAGCAGAGTTGGGGTCCATGTGGGCATCTGGGAACTCCCCGTGCAGACAAAGCGGGGTGGGAGGACTTGCTGGAGGATGAGGCTGTGGGGCTGCTCATGTGGCCACCACCATACTCCCCTCGCTTCTCCCAGCTCCTGTTCTCTCCCCGCCCATCCCCCCTACTGCCAAAGCACTTCCTCCTCTCCCAAAGCAGCCCTTGTTCCCTTGGCCCGTCAGCTGAGGGGAGAAGGCCTTGCGGACATTGGCTGTAGGATACAAGCAAGTGTGGACCAGGATGTCTGGAAGCGGGCAAAACTCATCTTGGGGTATGTCGTCCCCACCCCACCCCGCCCCCTGCCCAGTGCCTGCCAGATCTACCCACTGCCCTCCCCTAGCAGGGCCCTGACTCAGCCCCGCCCTGGAGATTCTGGGGGACTCTGCAAAGGAAGAGAGTGAGCTTGAACTCAGGGAAGTTGGTTTGGGGTAAATCCCTCCCACTGAGCGTGGTGTCATGGGCAAGGGCCACAAAAGGACGCCATGAGCCCTTTACTCCTCACAGGAAGCTCTGCGCTGGAGGGCTACATAGTCAGCGGTGCCTGCTATCTCCGCCCTCGGCAGGATCACAGGAAATAAGCATGCTGGGAATTAGAAACACATGGACAAGGCAGGTCCTGCCTATCCTACTGCAGTGTTCTGTCATTACAGGGGAAGTCTGGACAGGGTCTCTGAGTTAGACTCAGCGCCCTGGCAGCGGGTCTGGTTTGTGTGAGGAACGTGGATTTTCTAGCAGAAGATTCTGTCTTAGCTGACCGGAGGACCATATTCTAAGAAAAACCACTCTAGGGATTCTTGGACATGAACTCCCTCAGTCATTTTCCTGAGAGCCCACGTGCCTGGGGAGCCAGCCAGAAGCATCTCTTAGGCAACACACTGCCAGAACATTAGCATCCTGATTGGCTGTCGGGGCACCCGTTTTTCTCCAGGATGCTGCCCTGTCGGTCGCGCACATCACAAAGGGTGGGCTGCCAGCAACCACCCACTGTTTTGAAGAACAGCACCACACTCGGATTCAGCCTCCACTGAATCCCCTTGGACCACTGCGTAGGGATGTGAACAATCTTGCCCGTAGACAGAGTACATTGGGGAGTGGATTACTGCAGATACACTTTGGTTACAATTTAACATCTTCTCTATCATTTGTTTTTCCTTCTGACCCATTTAAAATTTGTTCTAGTTTCTACTTCTGCTTCCACTTGGATTGAGTTTGCGTTTTATCTCGTTGTTGGGGTTTTTTGATATGATTTCTTTCTTTTTTTTTTTTTATATGATTTCTTTAGATGAAATCCTGGATAGGTCAATCTATAGACAATGAGTAGATTATTAAGTTTCTTAGGGTTATGGCAAGGAAGTTAATAATGGTACAAGAATGAAAAAATTGTGGTGCTTGCACAACTCTTTAATATAGTTAAACCATTGAATTGTATGGCACATTAATTATATGTCAATAAAACTAAAAACTGAGCCAGATTTACTCTGCTGTTTTTCAGAGGGGGTACACCCCCCACCCCATCTCATCAAAGCAGCATTCATTATGATTCCATGTCCCTTTCACCAAGGCCTGATGTAGTCTATGATTTGCTAAGCATGGGCTTGCAAACCTCCAGCTCGGCCCAAGGGAACCCACGGCGCAACCCACGGCGCAGGTGGTCACCTACCTGTGGCATTTCCAAGGCTTTCATGATGGCAGAGAAGGAATAGAGGTCTCCCATGGAGTCCTTCAGTTCCACCGCCACCTGGATGATCCTATTGAGAGTGGCTGCTCGGTCCTCCAGAGTGCCCGTGCAGCCCAGAATGTCCACTGCAATGCCGATGGCCATCGTGCTGTGTCTGAGAGAGAGAAGACCAGCGGTCAGGCCCAGGGCCGGCAGGATGCGGCGAAAAGGAAACCAAAGGTCGAAGAGACTGGGAGAAGGGCTGTCTTGGCACTCTGCTGCTGCTGCTGCCACCCTAAGGTGACCTGGCAGGTTGAGCAGGTGGGAGGGCTGGCCTCCACTGAGAGACTGGCTCCCACCGGGCTGGCTGTGGCAAGACCCCGGATGGGGAAGGGGGAGGGCCCTGTGCGGCCAGCATGGCATGAGCAGGTTTAGGCCTAGCCTCGGGGACAAAGCTTCCCTGGGGGCATATGGTTCCTGTACCACCACATGAGCATCCCTGCTGATGCCGGGTCCCCCAGCACCCACACTAGGATCTTCTTCTGGGGAGCCCCTGGATTAGGGTGTGAAAGGGCAGGAAAAGGAGAGGAGATATCCTGTTCCCAGCAGTCTCGGGGGATGAGAACAAAGGCAGGAGCGAGGAGCTGGGGGTCGTCGGGGTGCCTGCACCCTGGTCAAGAGGCCAGAAAATGAACGGAGATGCAGACAAAGACTGAATAGCTAAGAGGCTAGAAGATACCTATACAGCCAGACCCCAAGAAGATTCAAGTCTCCTTTCCGATAAGCCTCCCTTCTCCCCCAAGGGCTCAGAGTAATGGGGTCGGAGAGCAGGCGCCCCATGTCACAGCGGCAACCCCCAGCTGGCATGGGGTCAGGGGCGTCTCAACTACATTCCTTCCCGACTGGAACACGTGTCCCAGCGCACAGCGACAGTCACTCCAGGACAGCAGGCCTGTAGAACGCTGTGGCCACACTGGCACGCAGGTTTGAGCTCAGGGTGTGCTGCTTGCTGGCGCGCGGGCACTCTGGCTCCTGAGTCGCGAAGGGCAGTGAGTCAGCCGGTGCCAGGCATTCCCAGGGCTTCTGTTGCTAAAAGGAGCGACAGGTGACTGCCCACAAGTCTGCCAACAGACATCCATGTGGTGCTTACTCGGAGTGGGACTGGGGCTGCGACCCAGCTGCCCTGCTCAAGCTGCTTTCTCTGGAAGATGGGAATGAGGGTGTGGGGGGAGATTGTGTGAGTGTGTAAACAAAAGCACCGGTAGAGTGTGGACTCTCCCAAAGGCATGGTGCTCGTTCCCTATCTTGCTTCATTTTGCCTGCTGGTCTTCGGGCCACCTGTCCCTCTTGAGGTTTTGCTCTTGCAGAATCTAGACCTACGGCACATTGTTCTGCACTTGTGTTTGGCCTAAGGTACATTTTTTGGTGCGTGTTTTGGCCTGAGGCATATATATATATATATATATAATAAACAACATATAAATCTGTTGTTTACTAAAGCGTTTCGTCAGCCATCTTCAAAATGCCAACACTGAGTGAAACTGTTCAGCTGCCTCTTTAAAAGGAAACGAGTTTCCCACACTGTATTCAATCGATTGTTGTTTTTCCCTCGGGTTGCTGTGATCCTTACGTAGATGGGTTCTCAGTTCCTTCTGGAAGACCTGGTGCTATGTCAGTGTGGGCAAGCTGCGGCCTGAGCTGCTTCTGCACGGCGCCACACCGGTAGTGGGCGCCCCAGCTCTGCCTCTTGGCTTGGGTGAGCAAGGTGCTAAGTTCAGAATAAAGGTGGTTGGTACTTGACTCTTCAGCACGAGAAGGTGATGTCCGTTGGACACTTTGGGACCCCTATCCTCCTGGACGTTTTCAGGAGCACATTTTCATCAATGCAGCCACCTCCCAGGCTCTCAGGGGTGGCTCCCACAGGCCGGTGTTGGGGAGGAAGCAAGCTGAGGGGCCAGGTCCTCGCCGAGTAAGCAGTTAGGGGCGGGGAGAACGGCTGTGGAGCGGGCTGCACACCAGAAGACAGCTGAGAGAGACACGCCAACCCCTCGCCCGGCCGGTATACCATGTGATGGTGGCCGGCATACCATGAAACGGGGCGTTTCCAGGCTGAAGAAGATCCCATGCAGGCAGGGGAAGTGAGGCACACGGCTCATCTCTGGGCAACGGTGACCCCTTAGCCCAGACACCAGCAAGGGGAAGGGACTGGCGCCCAAGAGCCAGGGCTTGGAGCATGGAGAGGAGGAGACAACCTGGAAGAATCTGAGGGGAAGAGGAGGAATGTTGAGAAGCAGGACCTCCTCTGGTTCCCCAAAGGCACAACGAAGCCACAAAGGCACCTTGCACAGGAGCCTGGGTGGTGCTGGGCTGTGGACCGAGAGGCTGCCACTTAGAACCCACCAGAGGTGCCTCCTTCCACAATGCTGCCGGCGGGGGAGTGGAATCTGCTGGGTGTCACTGGCACCCGAAGAGGCACGGGCGCTGCTTAACCCTCCTGCTCTTCAGATGCCGAGCATGCTGCCTGGTCAAGAGCAGGCTCGAGCGTGCACTTGTATTTGCTCATGCCAGTGGTTCTCAACCTTCCTGATGCCGCGACCCTTTCAGACGGTTCCTCATATTGTAGTGACCCCCCAACCATAAAATTATTTTCATTGCTACTTCATAATGGTCATTTTGCTACTGTTATGAATCGGGCGACCCCTGTGAAAGGGTCATTTGACCCCCAAAGTGGTCTCGACCTACAGGTTGAGAAACGCTGGCGTAGGCAGTTTCTAAACCTAAAAGCAATCTAAGTCTTTATAAGAGCCAGCTGCCCGGGTCATCTTGGACTTAAAATAGTCAATCAGCAAAGTATCTAACCTCCCTCCTCCCAGAAGCCCCCATTCCGCAGTGGGTGTTTCTTTGGGGTGCATCTGCAGTCTGATGCCCGGCCACCGGGACACTGGACTCAGTCATCCTAACAAAGTCTGTTTGCTCCCCGGTGGAGCTGTGGCCCAGGCACTGGACTGCTCGCCGCACAGATGGCGGTTCAAACCCACCAGCCGCCTTGAGGGAGGAAGAGAAGGCTGTCTGCTCCCCTAAAGACTTACAGCCTCAGACCCCTAAAAAGGTCACCGTGAGTCTGCGCTATTTGAAAGACCATGCTTGCTTTCTGAGGCTGACATCCGACTACTGGGACACCCACCGCCATTTAAACAGCGTAGTAAGAGCTCAGTAGCCACGTGAGCTAATGGCTACTGTAATGACCAGCACAGCTAAGACACTTAGGTCGTCATAGAAACTGGACAGTGCTGTCACCTAGGGCGTCATGGAAGGCCATGGGTAATTAGTCATGGCAAATGGTAATCGTTGGGGTGGATAACAAGGTCTTGAAAGCCAAAGCCACTTCGGGGTCACATTCTCTGGACAGGGTGGAATGACCCCTGTGGGTTCTGAGCCTGGAACGCTAGAAAGCCTTGTTCTTCTCCCATGGAGCGGGGGATGGTTTTGAACTGCCAACCTCGTGCCTCACAGCCCAATGTGAAAGTGGTAATGGTGCAAAATCACCTGTCATTGGTTGAGGGGCTTTAAAAGGCCGGTGTGTACAAGAGTAGAACTTCAGTTCATGCCTCTGCCCTTAAAAACGTGCCTGACTGCGTCTTTCTAGTTTCTAAGCCTCAGCGTTCACACTTCATGAGCAGAGGTGAGGGCGGAGTGCTTGAGAGGTACCCATCGGCCATGCCACCGTGGCCACCACCCTGTTGGTCCACCTCTCAGAGCAAGCTTTCAGTCAGTCTGTCCTTCCCCACCAGCTCAGGTTTTCATTCCTAAAGCAACCCAAAACAGGGCAGCGCCCGGCAGGAAGAAGTGGCCGTGGCCGTGCCCGGCTGGCCGGGCGTGTGAGTAATGTTCGCGCGGACACCAGGCGCTGTGCCCGCACTATAGCTGCTCTCCAGCCAGCGCCTCCTGGTGTCGCAACAAGGACGCGTTCTTTGTTCGCGGCTTCCTCTGCGGAAACGCTTTGTGCGTCTCCAGGAATTCCTTGGCTCAGACCTCTGGGTGGGGGTGGGGGGAAGAGTCCTGGAGGGATGCGCCCGCAGGCCCCATGGCTGGGCCCGTGCCTGCGCCCCTGGACGCCTGCTGCTCCGCCGAGGAACTGACAGGCCTGGAACGCCACGGGCGGGCGACAGCAACGCTCACCTTTCAATCAGGTCCAGACGCAGCTGGTGTCCAAACGGCAAGGTAATGAGTTCCAGGCCAGAGCTCACGCCCATGTTCCTCCGCATCTCCTCTGAGACCCCAAGTATCCTAGCAACCTGGCAGGGACAGAAAGAAGTTCAGATGCACTGTTCAGGAAGTGGGCTTGGGGCAGTGTGGGGTCTGCTTTACGCGGTGCATTTATGTATTTCCATTTGTCCACAGAGTAGTAGCTTCTAGAAATACAGACTTACTGGATATCTGGGGGGTTTCAGTCCACACACTAGGATACAGAAAAACAAACAAAAAAACACGCTGCCATCGAGTCGATGCTGACTCAGCGATCCTCCTAGGGCAGGCTAGAACTGCCCTTGTGGATTGTAACTCTCTAAGGGAGTAGAAAGCCTCGCTTTTCTCCCGCGAAGCCGCTGGTGGTTTCAAACTGCTGAGGGGTTAGCGTCCCAAGGCGTACCCACTAGGCCACCGGATCCAGGGCTACACAGGGAGAGTGGGGAGGGGAATTCCTCCTGGCTGCCAGGCCAGGGAGCGGTTTCCTCTTTGAGCGCCCCTCTCACGGAGGCAGGATCCTGCCCGACGCAGGGCTGCCAACAGCCGGGCTGCCTGTGTGTGCAGCCCAGAGATCCCCCACAGTGGAAAGCAGAACCTCCGCCAAGCTTTCCAATGCTGCCATGGCTTCGCCATTTATGTTCTCACTTAACAGCCACGGCTGGCTGCCATTACCCTTAATTACGCCTCTCCTGGGCTCTGCAAATACACCAGGCATCTGGAAAGGATCAAACGTATACAGAGACTTGAAAGCCAGGGCCTCACTCACCCACTATCCTGCCCCTCTCCCCCCCTTTCCTCCCCCTCCCCTTCTCTCCATTACCCCCCACGCCAGGTTTGCAAAAAAGGAAGAGCTTTGTTTCTCTCCCCTTCTTATTATCTCTCACCCCCATTCCATTCTAGCTTGTAACCACAGCTTGTGGGGATCTGGATTCCTTGGCAGTGGATAGTTAGTTACAACTGAATCTCTGCCTCTCTCCGGGACCCTGGTGACATCATGCAACTAGCAGATAGGAGGAGGGCCTGACCAACATGTGGAGGGCACAGGACAGCTCTTTTCAACCTGGTGGTGGTGACCCCTCTCCTACAATTGCCCCTGGTACACGAGCCGTCCAGATGTCTTCCAAAGGGGCCATTTGGAAGTTTGGGGCACTGCTATTAACCCTGACCCTTGACTTCGGTGGTTGAGCCAAGGAACTATTGTCAGCCCCAGGGGGGAATGGGACTGTGGGAATTAGTTGTCCAGCGACAGAACATGATGTGGAATTCATGCTGTGGCCTCAGCTGCCCTCTCTGAGCCTTAGTTTCCCCTTGGCTAACACAGCAGCCAACTTCACCCTTTCCGAGGATTTTGCAATGTACCTAATGGCCTGAAGGCCCCCCAAAGCCATCTGGAGACATGAGCTAACTCACAGGCCTTCGGAGCCCAAGCCTGGGAAGGAGCTGTGTGCTGGGCCACAGCAAGGCCGCCCGGCGCTCAGTGCTCCTTCATTTGGACAGCTGCCCTGTCCATGGCTGCAGATGCAGCCCTCAGTGGGGCACTCTTCAATCCACACCACACGCACACCATGTGACAAGATCCAAAGGCTCTGCACTGAGGTCTTCTCTAGAAGCCCCAGCAGACAGCCCACGGGCCCCTGCTCTGAGAGGGACACCTCCACTGTTTCTTTAGCGTGGTGCTCTGGGCCACGCTTAGATTAGGCTCCTGCTTGCCTCCGAGCTGAGCTACAGATCAAGGGGGGCCTGAGCTCACAGTGCACGGCCGAGATGAGGTACCCAGGGGAATGCTCCAGGCCCTGGCGCTCAAAGATGTGGAGGGAGGACTACCACTTTCCTCCACCTATCCCTCATCCCACTGCCTCGGGTCTGCTGCAAGGGGAGCCTTCCTAGAAGCCTGGTTCAACCCTGGTCACTCTCGTCCCAGCTGCCGAGAGCCCTTCTAAAATGTGGGGAGATAGCTGGGCCCCACTTGCTGTCTCTCCTGCCCTCCGTTCGTACCAGTGGGGCTGTCTCCATCACTGAAGGCTTCTGACGGCAGGGATTTGGCTCCACTAGAAATCAAGATTTGGAAAGCGCTGAAGAAAGAACTGTCAGCCTCCTTCCCTGATCTTATGACTTGCTCACCCACCCCATGCTCCCTGGTGGCTGGTGGGTATATTTTGGGCTGCTAACAACAAGGTCAGCAGTTCAAAACCACCAGCCAACTCCAAGAGAGAAAGACAGGACTTTCTACTCCCTTAAAGAGCAACAGCCTTGCAAACTCACAGAAGCAGTTCTCCCTTGTCCTCTAGAGTCTGGACGAGTCAGGACGAATCGAAGGCAGTGAGTCAATGTATAGGAATGTGCACAGAAGGAGCCTCCAGTCCTTCTCGCCATGGTTTCCAGCATGCCTGTTGTTCACTGCATGGAAGATGCTTTCTGCTTCCTTCATCCAGCCAAGGAAGCCGTCAGAATTCATCTCAGACCTGCCACCTGACCCCATTGAGGCTGCAACACCGTGGGCCAACCCGGGAGCCTCCAACACCAGGGAGCCAGTGCCTTCCGGCTGAGACGGCCTGGCCTGACACACAGTGGGCTATCTATCAAGGCTGGAGGCAAAACACTAGTCCCCATTGACATATATTAACATCTGGGCCTTTTGGCTTTACCCACCACCACACTGCAACTTCGAGGAGCCGGGAGCTGGCCGAGGTTGGCAGTCTCAGACATCCGAAAGGCTCAGTTCTGCTGTCCTTGAAGGTCGTTATGAATCGGAATAGACTCTACCGATTTGATTTTGGGGGTCTGGGAGGGGAGAAGGCCCTGGGAAGGAGCGCACCGTCCTCTAGACGCTGGAGCCTGGCGGTCCAGGTGGGCTGTCCTGCTGAGCAGAACTAGTACTGGGAGAAGGAACGAAGCGAACCCAGCGCATCACCCATTCATGTATAAAGCGTTTCCTGGGCACCCCGCTCTAGTCAGTCGCTGGGTGGGGTGGTGGGGGCCGGCTGGACCCTGTGCTGGCAGAAGCTCCAGCCCTCTCAGGACCACCCACTGTCCTAGTGGGCTTTATAGCAGCAGTGCTGGGCTCTGTGCTGGGGGTGGGGGACGGCATGTGGGGCCCAGACGCCTCTGCCCGGCTCCCGGGGGAGAGGGCAGCTGCCATGGTCCAGGTGCAGAAGCACAGCTCTTGCTGGTCTTCCCTCTTCCAGCATGGTGGCTGCGAGGAGACCCGGAAGCCAGAAGGAGAATAAGGAAATGGCTGCAGCCTGGAGAGGGAGGGGAGGGAGCTTCAGCCCCGCCCTGACCTGGGAGGAGGGGTGGGGGGTGGGCAGAGTCCAGCTGCTCCTACTCCCAGCTTGGCCGTCATGCTAGCGGCTCTGAATCCAGCCTCTCTTGCTGGCGTCCTCCCCATGGATGGGAGGGAGGCGAGAGGAAGAATGGCCCCCATCGGCAGGAAGGCTGCAGGCCCTTCAGCTGCGCATAGATAGATGGGGGCTCTGGCTTCCTGGCAGCTGGAGGCTCTGGGCACCTTCTAACCCTTCCTTCCTAAAGCACCCGCCCTGGGAAGTGGGCTGTTAAGGAACTGGGGCCGGTGTTTCTGCCAGGAGCTTCTGGGATGGAGAAGCCGGCAGGTTCACCTCTCAGATCGGGGGCCCAGCATCCTGACCCACTGGAGGAAATGCCTCAATCCTCTCACCACCCAAAGGGCCCCAGGCCCCTAGGGACCCACTGCTGTGATGTCTGAGGCACTGTGGGGGGTCCTCCTCTTTGGGGCTGACTCCCAAGCCTGAGGTCCTTCTCCAGGAGGGGAGCTCGCAGGAAAGCAAGGTGAGGAGGGAACCACGTCAAATTACCTGACCACCTGTGCGCTCGGGCCAAGCACGTGCAGCCCGTCATTCACGTGGATGAGGTTCCAATGCATCTCTTCCCTGGTCTCATCCGGGACCTGCACCCCCACCCCTCCTACCACACATAGGTGTAGACCAGATAAACCCTTCCTAAGGGAGCCCTCTACTTCTGGCCCTCAGGACAGCGGCAACTGGCTGATCTTCTGAGCTCAAGGCTGTGCGGGAGGCCTCTGGCTCACTCCCTTGAGTCCCTGAAGGGGTGGGCAAACACTGCACTTCATGACCCAGGAAGGAAAACCCAGTTTCGGTGTAAGTCTTGTGACCTTTGGCGCTGAGGTAACTGAGCCACAGCTGAAAAGGAGCTTTCGATCTCATGGGGCCCTAATAGAAGCCCTGATGACCCGACAGTTAAGACCTCAGCTACTTACTGAGAGGTTGGTGGTTTGAACCCCCAGTCGCTGCACAGGAGGAAAGACCTGATGATGTGCTCCCTGGGGGGCAGCTCTGCTCCCAACGCAGACCACCACGCGTGGGAGACTCAGGTGCTCCTCTCAGAAATGACCAGGACGTGGACAGACAGTTCAGTGAAAGACTCGGGGCTTTGGAACAGCCAGTGTATAGTCCCGTGCCACCCCTGCCTACATGTGGGTGCTTCAAAAAGTTTGTGGAAAAATATCATTACCTCTTCATCCCATTTGTCCAGGAACTTTTTGAAGCTCCCTCATAGGCATGTGCTTATTTACCTGTGTCGCTTGCAGTCGGTGGGCTAGTTGTTGAGCTGCTGCTATCCATACAAGGTTGCCAGTTCAAACCCACCAATTGCTCTGGGAGAGAAAGATGAGGCTGCTTGCTCCTATCAAGAATTACAGCCTGAGAAACCCCACGCGGGGTCACCATGAGTCCGAACTGACTGGACTGCAGCCGGTGGATATTTGCAATATATGTCACATTTGTGTGTCCACCAGACGTGAACAACAGTGATCACCAGAAAACGGGCTTCTGTGTTTGTTTTCTTTGAATCTGTATTTGTGCGTTTTCTAATAAATAGTACTCATTATTTTTAAACCTCAAGATTAACTTTTAAAAATGCTATGTATACTGGATAGCCTCTTAATAATAAAAATACATCTGCATAATGAAATTTAAAGTAAGGCTCCACTGCTCAAGAAACTACACTTTCCTCTACCACCAACTGCCCGTTTGGACTGTTTACCTGTTCTGATGGAGGTGAGATCGCAGGGAAATTAAAAATAAAGTATCAAGAAGGACAAGAGGGATTCTGCATCTGTGTGTGTGTGTGTATGTGTGTGATGTGGTGTGTGTTTGCAGCAGGTGTGCCCTCTGCCCAAGGTGAGTTTTACAAGCTTCCTGCCTGGGCGAAGGCTATCCCGGCCCATGGGTCCCGCCCCTTAAGCAAACCCCACGCCCATGCTATCTTCAGATTTCCCCTATGAATCACGGGGAAGGCGGCGCCCGCGCCTGCGCCCTGCATGTACCTGGCAGTCCATCTGCAGCATGTGCTGGGCGATGGCTCGGGGCTCGCAGCTGGTGCACAGTTCTTTGGCCCGCTTCAGCAGGGCCGTTTCCAGGGGCTTGTTCTCGGGAGGAAGGAGCTTCGACTCAAAGTCATTGGGCCTGAACGAGGAGCCGCTTTCCATCAGGGGCTTCACAAACTCGGCCCAGTCCTCCTGCCCCTTGTCCGTCTGCACTGCCGGTGGCTCCCAAGGTCTCGTCCCATCGTCATCAAGGATCAAGTAGTTGGTGCCCGAGTGCCGGGGCCCTGGGGCCCCATTCTGCCTGGCCGTCAGTAGCTCCATGGAGGTGCCCTGGGCGCATAAGGGCGGCTTTGCTGCCCTGCCGCAGCCTGAGGCCAAGGCTGGGTTCAGTTCACAGTAGTGGGCCTCGGAGTTGAGCCACGCAGATGCAGGCGGGGTCGTCTTGAGGAAGGGCACTTTGCAAGGCTTCGGGGGAGGCTTGGGGCACAGCTGGCTGTCCGAGCCCCTCAGGGCCTCCCCTGCCCTAGTATCCAAGGAGACCCTCCGAATCAGTGCTGGGCTCAGGGTGGGTTCACTGCCCGTTCTGAACACGGGTGAGCTTGGGCATGGGCTTGTGTCCACACCCGGGGAGTGAGGGGGCAGCTTGCAGCCTGTGAGAGAGGAGAGGGGGGCAGTGACTGAGCTGAGCTGCTCGCAGAACAAACACGAGTGAGAGGCCCCGCCCCCAAAGCCTCTGGGTTTCTATTTTCACTCCTTTAAAACAACCAATGTAGTACGATTTCCCCACCCCCAACCTAGAGCAATGGGGAGGTTGGAGCAGGCCCTCCCCCACTTGGGGGCTGCTCCCAATCCCAGTGACAGGTGGCAGCTGGTCAGGCCAGGCAAAAAACAAGGATGTAACCTGGCCTTAGGACACACACGTTTAGCCAGGTAGCATGGTGGGCCCTGAGTCACCATGGAAGGCAGGGTGGGTCCCAGCCAGCTTGGAAGAGAGAGACACAGAGAGGGGTGGGGGGTGGGGGTGTCATGGAGACAATCCCTATATCCCCATACAAGTTTGGGTAGTTTATGAAGTAGTGCTAGCGGATGGTCTCAAGGAAGTCCGGTTATAAAGGGGATGAAAACCCACGCACTGCCTACTGATATCAGGGCTCACCTGAGGTGGGATTGATTGCCTGCACCCCGTACCCCTCATTCTCTCACCATGAGAGGACAGGCGTACGGAAGGGGTCTCTTTCTGGCCAGCTGCTCTGCCAGGAGCTCCACCTGATGCCCGGGAAGGAGGCTGTGGGAGCAGGCTTGTTGTCATGCGGGGCACCGGTTAGCCAGTGGGCTGGGAGTTGGAAACTCTAGCTTCAAATGCTGGCTTGGCCACTTAGCGGTGGGGTGACTTCGGACAAGCTACTTAGTCTCCCGGTGCCTCAGGGTTCCCAGCTGTGAAATGGGTGGCAGCGCCCACCTGGAGGCCGTGGTTGGAGACGAGCTGCTAGCAGACAGAAAGCACCAGGGCTTACCATTGGCAGATAGCGCTACGCAAGCCTGACCCTCCAGCCTTTTATCCCTCTTCAATTCGGGGGCCAGCAGGGACAGAAAATGGGTCTGAGGAAATCAAGGTCACCCTGGCCTCCTCCCCAAAGACCCCCAAAGACGTACCAATTGGCAGGTAACTCTCCGACTGGTGGGCTTTGAGGTATAAGGCTCTTTTGTCCTGCATGTGATCCAGGCAGGCCGGCTGGCTACCACTCTGCTCTCTGTTTCTAAAACAAAAGGTAAACGCGGCTCAAACTTGTCATCAAATCATAAAGCTCTCAAGGCTCTTAAGACATGGAAAGTTAAAAAAAAAAAAAAAAACAGAAAAGAAAGCCTGAATGGGACTGCTATCGAGTACCCTAACAGCCAAGGAATGTCTGGTGGGGGAGGGATTGATCGAAGCTTGGCCATTCATAATGGGATCCTGCGGTGAGCAACATCCCAGGTTCCCACCGACCAATCCTGTTGTGAACCCTCAGGACGCCTCCTCCCAGCCGACCGTCCCACAGCAGAGCAGGGTAAGTTTCCCCAGACTCCCGGGAAATCTGATGAGCTGGAATGTGTACTCTCAACAGAGCCTCCAATTACTTACAGATCCAAGAGGAATGCCCAGTTTAACTGACACGCATTTCCCACAACCGGCTCCACAGTGCCGTCAGCGCCCCCTCAGCAGGGGGGCTGCAGGGCAGTTTTCACCTCCGTGCAAAGCTCCGCAGCTCCCAAAGGAGCCACCAGATCACACAGGGAGGCCCAGGGACCACCTCGGGCTGCACCCCCAGGGGATGGCAGGCAGCCTCCTGCTGCGGAGCTGGGGACCGAGCTGGAGCCGACCATGGCCGCCTGCCTCCCCCTCCTCCTGCTCCCTTCCCCATCCGACCTGGGAATTTCTCTGACCAGCACCGAGCGGCAAGTCTGTCTCTTGCCAGAGGAGAAAGCACCGCACCATAAAGTCGTCAGGCACGTTCACCGGTCCTACAGGCTTCACACATCAGGAAATGCTTTTCCTCCTTGCAAGCATCAAAGGGAAGGAAAGGGGGATGGGGCGGGGTGGGGATCCGCAAACCCCAAGAGCCCAGCCACAGAGAAATCCCGGCACTCCTGGGAGATAAGGCGGCTCAGGGGACAAATTCCAAGAGGCAATGGCTTCGCAGCGGCGATCTTTAAACCGCCCAGAGCAGCCCGGCCTGGAAGACAACCTGGCTGAGCGGGCACCCCTGGCCGGGGCAGCCACCACCAGCCGGCCAATCCCCGCGTCCAACGTCAGGGCGTCAGCGGCCGGTGCCCGAGGCCAAGCACTGACAAGGGCAGCCACCCAAGGGCAGCGAGGGCCACCAGGCATGCGGAGCCCACCCCTCCCCCGCTCGCAAACACTGGGGGCTGCCAGCCGGTGCTCAGTGGCAACAGGGCTGACTTTCCAAAGGGCCGCCAGAACGTGAATCCGGCCCTGCCCCTGGACATTCTTAGCCTTTCACTCCGTCTGAGAAACCGTGGAACAGAACCCGGCCTCTGAACCTCCCCTGCAGCTTAGCGGCTGCCTGCTGAGGATGCTGGGAGGGAAAGCCGGGCCCTGAACGCCCTGCTTCCAATCCCCACTCTCAACAGAAACATATTTTTCCTGTTATGTTTTTTAAGTCCAATTTGTATTCACGTATATATCTCACGTCCAATCTTATTTCTGCAAAAGGGGCAATTTAATATCAGTTTTTGCCTCACGCCCTGCAACTGACTTAAGTTTAACACCCCACTGCCCTCCAGATGAAAATAAACGATCCTTCGTAACACTGGCCTTGAACCAGGGAGTTCCCCAAGGAGCCTGGTGGCATGCCGGACTGCTAACTGCAAGGTTTGCGGATCAAACCCACCAGCTGCTCCTTGGTAGAAAGATGACGTTTTCTGCTCCTATAAAGATTTACAGCCTGAGACACCCATATAGAGGGCAGTTCTACGCTGTCCTACAGGGTCACTGTAACTCAGAATTGACCGCCAAGATAAGAGTCTGTCTGGGTTTTTTCCCCCTCCGTTTTTTTAAATGGAGGCCCCAGTGGTGGTGGAAGTGTCGCGCGAGTGTTGGTAACAGCAAGGTGGGGCTTCAAACCCACCAGTGGCTTTGTAGGAGAAGGCTGAGGCTTCTGCTTCATAAAGGCTTACACTCTCAGATACCCTACTCGTGGTGCCGAGTCAGAAATGACTCGATGGCAGTGGGTTGGGGGCTTTTATGGCGTCCCTAAGAAAGCCTGGTGACACCTGGGTCAGGCGCTGCCCTGGGCTGCTGAATGAAAGGTCGGCAGTTCGTCCCATTGGCTGCTCGCTAGGTGGGAGAGCGCTGAGGCGATCTGCTCCCATGCAGACTTAAGGCGCAGGAAACCCAAGGAAGGGTCACCGTGAGTTGGAATTAACTTGATGGGTTTGGGCTGGGGGCGGAGTTCGGATGAGCCTTGATGGGGCAGCGGCTTAAGCAAAGATGGCAGTTCTAAGGCCCCAGCCTGCTTCCTTAGAGACCTACAGCTCTGAAACCCGCGGGGGCAGTTCTGCTCCGTCCTGCAGTGTTTCCATGAGCTGGATTCCGATCCACGGTGGTGTGGTTCCGTTCACGGAGCTGCTGGGTGGGGCACCTTGGAAGAAAGGCCTGGTGATCTACTCCCCCAAACAAGCCACTGAAACACTCCGCGGAGCACAGTCCGACACTGACACCCCTGGTGTGGCAGAACTTACTACGCGCTGGCCCTGTTTCAGGGTTTCACCCCCACGAGCCCCACTTTGACAGGTGATGAGCTTGAGAACCAGACATGACGTCACCTGCTCATGCTCAAACTGCTGGCCAGTGTGCAGCCCAGCGTTGGGCCGGGAAGGTTGGGTCCACACCTGACGCTGACCCAAATGGACCAGAGCCGCTCAGGTAGCCCACAGCCTCCACGTGTGCTACTGCTGAGTCCTGATTTCTGTCCTCTTGAAACGGCAGTTCTTGATAGTGGGTTTGGCTTAGAAGCTGAGGAGCTGGAGAAGGGGAGCTGGCGTCCTGCCAGGCAAATCCAAACCCACTCGCTGAGCCTACTCTGCACCCCAGCCACCCGGTGCTGCACGGGAGGGCTGCGCTCCCGCAGGGCTTCGCGGCTGCTGGCTCTGTGGAGACAGATCTCCAGGACTCCCCTCTGCAGTGCTGCCAGGTTGGCTTTAATCACCAGCCTTTACGTTAGCTGGCGACACAAAGCATTTACTCCACCCCAGGGACTTTGAAGCAGTCGCTGACACTCGATTCCGACTCACGGTGATCCCCGGCCTCGTGCCTGAGAGGAGCACGTGCTTTGTCGGATTTCCAAGGGTCACCAGGCCCCTTTCTTCACAAGTGCCCCGGGGTGGCCTCAAACTACTGGCCTTTCAGTTACCCGCTTCCTGCTGCCTATGAGACAGGTCTGACGGCAACCCAGGGTGCCATCACTCAGGTCCAGCAGCAGGAGGAGGCCCCTTCACTCAGATGACCCTCCATCCCCTCCCAGGGTCACACTGTCTGCCATGCTCACTGCATGTTGACCCGGGCTTCAGCGCTCAGCCTTTCTGGGTAGACTTGCCCCAATCTACGTCTTCTGCCCTACGCGCCTCCCGAGCCCCCAGACTGCCTGCTGGACACTGGCTTTCAGATGAAACCACCGGTTTAACCCCTCAAGGCCCACTTCCTCCTCCATGTCCTTGTGTGACCCCCACCCTTCTTCAATATCCCCATATGCAAAAGAGGCCGGGGGTGGGGGGTGGGGGGTGGGGGGCATTCCTTGTACCTCAGGACCTCCACTCCTCTCTGCTCCCAGCCTGGGACCCAGACCCCCTGCCTGCAACCCCTCTCCGTTCAGCTGTTAGGACACCTCGGTCACTACGTGGACTCTCGGCAGCTCCCTCCGCCCCCTAAGCAGGCTTTGAGGCCTCTATGGCCAGGCAAGGGTTTCCTGTCCCCACTGCCCTGCCCACCCCTGCCGCCCCGCCCCTCCAAACTGCCCAGCCTTTTTCTGTCTGACACTTACACTCAACGCTAAGCCCTCCCCCAGGAACAGTCTCTCCCATGCAGCTTCCGGCCACGCTTGCCCGAGCCTCCAGACCAGCTCAGCTCTCTCCTCTTTCGAAAAGTCTCTCGGGTGGTGTGTGCACCCTCCCCTCCCTTGGGACCCGACTGTGCCCTGCCTCGCTGTCAGCACCTCTGATCGCTTCCCGGTTCCGGCTGAGCAACTCATCTGCCAAACTTGGGCTCTAAGGGCCAACCCACCTGAGAAGGTTTCCCCTGGGCAGGCTCTGCACGCTGCCCGTAGTGAGACTCAGCCGCTTGGCCACCTCCGGCCACCCCTCGGCCAGGCTGCCCGTGTGGGTCTGGCCCGGGGAGGTGCCATAGTGCTCCTCTAGGCACCGCAGGGGCACCGTCCTGTTGATGGGCTGGAAGATGATGGCCCCGCTCTGCCGGGAGATGGGCCGGCGGTTGCCCACGTAGCAGCGCACCAGGCCGGGGATGGAGTCGAAGCTCTCCGTCTCAAACTGGTACTGCACGCGGCTGTAGGCCTCGCTGGGCCTCAGCACCGTCTGGATGATCTTGAAGTGCTGAGCGAGGTTCTTCCACTGACAGGTCAGGACAAAGTTGCCTGGGCTGGACAGAGAGTCCCGGACCAGGAAGTCCCCATCGCGCTGCACGAGGCTTTCGGACACCTTCGAGAGGAAACAGAGACTGTGTCACAAGACAAAGCTATCTGTGCAAAGGCTTGGAGGAAGTCGGCGACAAAAAGGAGTCCCGAGGGCCCGCGCAGAAAGTGGGAGGAGGAGCAGGGCACGTGCCGGATCCCACAGGTTGTCTTCAGAGCACCCCCAAAACTCCCCTCTCTGGGCTGGGCAGGTGGGGAGCTGGGGTGCCCCCTGCAGGGGAGACCAGGCACGGAATGTGGATCAGAGAGTCTCTGCAAAGCACCTCGCACATGCCTGGAACACACTGGGGCTCAGACACTGGGGCTGTGATGATGGGGATGCGTATAGCCAGAAGAGAATTTACACTACGCAGCCAGACCGCCAGCATTCCCTTTCTGGCTCTGCTGGGTGGCTCTGGACAGATTACGTAACCGCGTTGTGGTTTCGCTACATCGTCTGTTAAATGGAGACAGTCATATTACCTACAGTGAGGTAGGCTGAGGCCCTGGTGGTGTGTTGCTCTGGTAACCTCGAGGTTAGCCGTTCTAAACCAGCCGCTCAGCTGGAGGAAGAGGAGGCTTTCTTCTTCGGTGGAGTTACAGCCTTGCAAACCCACAGGGGCAGTTCTAGCCAATCCTACTGGATGGCGGTAAGTTTGTTTGGCTTTGGTTTATAGGATGGCTAGGAGCCTGGATGGCAAAGAGGGCTAAGCTGTTAACTGCCAGGTCAGCAGTTCAAGCCCACCAGCCACTCTGTGGGAGAAAGACCAAGCTGTCTGCTCCTGTAAAGATTGACATTTTCAGAAACCCTACTCTCTTTGTGTCGCTATGACGTGGAAGCAACTAAGCGGCAGTGGGCCAGCGTGAGGCTAGAATTATTTACAGGAGCAAAGTGTTGGGTATAACTAGTATTATTGTTACAAGTTATACAGTTTAAAATACTGTTCAGATAAAATTTACACTAATGGCTAGTGGTTCAAAAACAAAAATAACTCCGGTAATCATCTTAATAAAAAGTTTTATAAATTTGGATAACCTTTCCAGGCTACTCCCACATGTGATCAATAGTCCACCACTCCGTCAGCTGTAGGCTGCCGTGGTCACGTAAAAGCTGCATCTCAGCCTCACAAAGAGGCTTTTGCCCAGAAATGCCATTTTGGGGGAATTTAACCTAGGGAAATACTTACAAGTAGAAATGCAATATTTATCTTGAAGGATGGTGGTATGGGTATTCGAAGCAGTGCATGCGTACAGGAGACACGCATACAATATAGAATGGTGTAGAAGTTTTTTTAAACAGGAGAAAGTTCCCAGACTGCACATGAACGGAGAGAGGTGGACTACAAAAAAGGGGGTGCAGTGGACGCGCTCCAGGTGTGCTGTCACCTGGTGATTGCCACAGTATAGGAAGAGGAAGGAGGAGGCCCTGCGGCACAATTCCATAATTGAACTAGAAACTCGGGCAGGACATACATTAAACCCTTTCACCAGTTTTCTCCAGGATTAGGGACGGGACTACACTTGTCTGCTTTTTTTGCTCTTTGTATTTTTTACATTTCAAACTGTGAAACAAAACAAAACAAAAACACCCCAAGGTCAGAATGGGAAAAGATGTCTTGGGGAGTGCTGGGAGTGCGCACCTGCCCTTCCCCCATTCCCTCACACCCTCCCCACTGCCCCCTCACAGTCTTGCTGTGCACTGTGCAATGACTGGCTACAGCAGGCTCACAAGACAGGTCACACCGACACCTCAGTGCTGTGGGCTTACTCAAAGGCCAATTTCTAATACTATGAAAAGTGGGGGGGGGGGTGGACAAAATGCAGCCACCCACCAAGAGCATTCCTCACGGTAACGCCCTGAACAGCAGGCAGGCACACACGGTGCACATTCAGTTGGGGAGTCTGTGGCCACGAAGATCATTCCTCCTCCTCCCCGATCCCCACCGGGAAGGGATGGAGGGAAGGATTACACGATGGGCCAAGAGCAGGCTCCGGTGAAGCCGCCCGCGGCCACTGTGCAGTCTGTTTTCAGATAACCAGGGCAGAGGTGGCCTTGCTGCTCTGAGCCATCTGCCTCTCGGCACCTGACACGAAGCCACCTCCCTCAGCAGGCAGTCGGCCCCGGCTGGCCCGAGGCTGTGGGCAGCCAGCCCAAGGGATTAAGCCCAGCCCTGGCATCCTGCTTCTTCAGTTCAGCAGCTCGGGGCTGCCGGCCTGAGACTGTTTGCGGACCACAGGGACACGTGTTTTCCCGTCGCCCTTCTCGGGTGGCGGCGGGTGGACACGTACTCTGGATTCCTGACCTTCGCCCTTCCCATGGTCTCCTTAGAGACGGACTTTGGCGAATTCACTGCTGGCCATTTGCAGTCTTTGTTTTCGATAAGCAGGGGCTCGAGCTCCCATCCCTCACACCCTGTGCGTGCAGTGGAGGTGAGGGGAGCAGGTACCTGTCGGGGGATGCGGCCGTGGTACCAGGCGTGGCTGCGCAGGTCCTCGCTGCTCAAGAGCAGCTCCTCCTCCAGCTCCTTCTTCAGCCTCTCCGGGGTCCTGTCCATGGCGTGCCGCTCCTTGGAGAACTGCAAGGAAGAATTGACGGTGACCTCTCCCCGCAGGCCCTGCCAGCCAGCCCAGGCTGCCACCTGCTTCACTTCGGGCGGCTAGGCTATCAAACCGGCATACGCTGAAGACTGTCCAGGGAGGGGGACCTGGATAATGATTACAATTCGTGATGACCTTTCATTTCTCCCGCCACAAAGGTGTAATAAAATTTTCACCTGAGCACAGAGAGATGGCCGAGCTGTTCTTGGCTCATTCTTCTCCGCTACACACACAGGAACATACCAGTGTGCACGCAGCACTAGTCACAGGAGCCTCAGGTAGTCACCACCCAGATGCCCATCAACATGAATGGACACACAAGCCATGGTGTGTCCACGGGAAGGGACATTACTCGACAATAAAAAGGAATACGTTTCTTTGACATGGATAGACTTTAAAGACGCTATGCCGAATGAGATAAAGGCAGACAAATGGACAAACAACGGATGGTCTCGCTTATAGGAAATAGCTGGAACAAGCAAGAATATGGAGATAGAAATTAGATGAGTGGTTACTGGCGGGCGTGGGGGTGGAGGGGGGGGGTTAGGGAGGGAGCTACTGTTTGAAGGAGTGATAAAGTCAACTTGGGCCAGGATTCTTAGTGGTTTGACAGTCAACAAGTAGCAATCCCTTAGTAATGAGTCCCAGCGTCGAACAATCACTTCCATGATGAAACCTGCTATGGGCAGCCAGTCCACTGGAAAGTTAGTTTCCTTGGGAATGTGGGCTGCTTCCAATATAAATGGATGGCATGGGAAAGCTTGCTTTTTTGTTTTGTTTTGCTGGGTCTGGATCCTGCATAGATTGGACTTATCACTTGACCTCTGGTTCTCTGGACTTGAGCCAGGGGCCTGCCATATTGCCTGGGAGTCAAAAGCGACCTGCCATCCCACCTTCCATTTTGGGTGAATCAAGCCTGTCATCTGGCCCATGGGCTTGGCACTTGCACACCTCTACGGCTTTGGGAGCCATCTCCTGGATATAAAACTCTCTGTATACAAACATAAAGAAGCCCTGGTGTCTTAGTGGGTAACGGAGGAGGAGGGCTGCTAACTGCAAAATCAGCAGTTTGAATCCACTCATTTCTCTTTGGGGGAAAGGTGAGGCTTTCTGTTCCTAGTAAGATTTACATCCTCAGAAATTCCAAGGGGGCGTTCGCTCTACCTCGCCCTGCGGGGCAGCCGAGTCGGGTCTGACTTGAGCAGGGGGTAACATACACGTGTACGGCTCGCAGGGTCTGCTTTACAAAGGGCACAGCCTACGATAAAGGAGGATGGAGTTTCTGTCTGGGGTGATGGGAAATTTTGGGAAATAGACAGTTTTACAGTATGGGGGATGCAATTACTATAGTCACTGAATTGTGTACCTAAAAGTTGTTCAAATGGTGAAATTTTAAAATATATGTATTTTACCAAAATAAGATTACACCAACAAGCAAATGCCGCGGGGAGCTGGCAAGGGAGTAGGGGCTGCAGAGAGCTCCTGGGGCCGTGGGGGTATATGTCCTAGGCCGGGCAGCTTCGTCCCAAGGAGGAGCAGCCTCATTCTTGGTCACAGTTGACCGACACCTTGGGACTAGAAAGGGTGGCCATCCCTACCTGGCCTTAGGTCCTACCTAGGCCTCCAGGGAAGGGCTGTCCTGAGGGCAGCCCTGGGCTGGTGGTGATGCCTGGCACCCTTTGCTATGGCAAAGCCCACAGCCTCTAGAAAGGTTTGGGGGCGATGCGGCAGGTGATTTCATGGCTCCTGAATCTTGTACAGAAACCAGAGTTGACGTTGTGTACGTCGCTTTCTTCTCGTTTCTCTAATATCTTGGGAGTTGAAGCTTAAACAGAAAGCAGAGCCCTGTCTGAGGCACTGTGACTGAGCAGGGAGTCCTGGGGGAAGCATGCTGAGATAGTGTATTGTGCCAGCCTGGCTGATAAACGCAGGTGGGATTGACTGAGGGGCGGAGAGATGGATGGCTTGGTGAGTCTCGCCTTTCTTGTCTCTCGCTCTGTGATCATCGGACCAGTGTGTGGCTGCCTTGCTTGTTCTGTGCCTCAATTTAAAGGCTACACAGCCTGTGGGACGCCTAGCCTGTGGACTGTGTTGCTGTAAGTTGAGGTCTCTTTAAGACTTCTCTGGAGCTGGGGACTGGCGATTGGTGACCTGCCTTGTGATTGGCTGCTGTGCTGACATAGCCTAGCTCTCTCTACAAATAGAGGAAGATCTGGCATCAGATAGAGACTTGAAGGACTGCTAGTCTCTCAACTTTCTCTCACGGACGTGAGTTGCACTAAGCCATTTACAGTGCTTCTAATTTAGCTGTTTATTTCTTGTATTGTATATTTATCTGTATATGATTTAACATTTCATTTCTTGTTATATATCTAATTATCTTTATGATTTAACATTTCATTTCTCGTTATATATATAATTATCTTTATAAATAAATATATTATATTATCAGGAATTTGGTTTTATCTCTCTAGAGAACCCTGTCTAACACATATGCCATCTCCAGGTTGGGTTTAGAACCCACATCCACTGACAACACATGCACTGACCTTGGACACCTGCCTGCTTCCCAGCCAAACCTGGCTCAGGGACCGCTCCCTGCACAGGGTCGTGTGGGGTGAGCAGGACGAGGTCGTAACCCGGAGCTGTCCCTGTGTTCTTCCGGGCCCCTCAGCCTGCCTTCCAAAGGCCGTCCCCGTGTAGGGACAACAAACTCATTCCTCATCAGACTGCTTTGCACCTCAGCGAGCTAGGAGCCCCACCCCCTCCCCACCAAAGGAAACGGGAACCAACCTGGGACTTTACCAATGGGCCGATTCTTACCCCCCCAGGCTTTCCAGCACAGTGACCCCAGACCACTCTCCAGGGGGGCTCTGGGTATTCGTGGCTCACGCCCCCCTCCTTCCACTTCCCCGCACTCCTCTTCTCCACACGGGCAGTTTGCTGAGCTAAACTCAGATCAGAGAGATGCTCCTGTGGTCTGCCCACGATGCTCAGCTCAGATAATGACGTTTGCCGCTGTCTGCATGGGTCATTAATGATGGCCATCTGAAGGCAGCTCTTGGGAAACACTTGAGTCGTGAACGTTGACTGTTGACTGGCCACCTTGAAATGTAGTCCCTTAGGCGCAGACTGCCTTCACCACCACCCTCGAGTCACACAGCGGACGCCTGGTCCGGCCACTGGAGGACCGATGCCCGCGAGGAGGAGCGCCTGAGACTTTTCTTCATTTCGAAGACCCTCCCTCATCTCCCCAGTGATCGGAATCCCCAGTGGGAGCTCCTGGAGATGCCTTGCAGCTACTCGGCTCCGTTCCTCGAACAGCCAGCATGTGCGGCGCTGTGATCGAGCTCTGGCCAAGGAAGGGCCCGTGTTGGTGGGACTTTGGGGGGGTAGGAGGAGTGTGATGGCTGGGGCCCCACCCGGCAGTGTTGGGAAGCCGCACACTGATCCTGGAGTGCCCGCTCCAGAACTTCCAAGTGGCTGTCCCTCTGGTGGAAGCCTGCTATTTTGGGTGCTCCAGGCAAAGGCAGCTGAAGGAAAGCCTGTTTGTTCCAGGGGGCACTCCGGCTCTGTTCAAGGAGCCCCCGGGACACAGTGCTTGCTCAGCTGCTCACGGCAGGATTGGGAGTCGGAGCCCACCCGGCCAGTGGCAGGGCGACAAGACTTGAGGAGATAAACTCCAGGGGGCAGTTCCACTCCGTCACAGCGGGCGGTTCTAGTCAGAATTGACTGCATGGCACTGCCACCACCAGTCCCATCCCACCGGGCGCACGGGCGTGTGGTCTGCCAGCCTCAATCCCTCCTGCTGCAACCCGGGCCCACTGCTCCTTGGCTGGAGGTCTGCAGGGTCAGTCACTAACATCCAACAAAGGAGTGCATAGTTCCTCCTCACTGACATATACTAGCATGCCCTAAGACTTTGGGACTTCCCTCCTTC